AAATCAATTTCCAATGAAGATTAGATGGAGTCTCGTTTTTTAATTGGGAGTAAATCATGGGCGAGCGGCCCACACAGATTGTAATCCGCCTCATTTTTCCTGTAACTCCATTATTACTAAGGCAGTATGGCCAACTGCCCCAGGGCCCCAGATCCGGTGGGGCCCCCGTAAGCCCCGGGTTCACCCTGTGTCAGCTGGGTTTGGTTAATTGTCTGATAGCTAAATCCCTTCCTCTGGTCAAAACAGCAGTTGTCCACCCAAAGATACATCGACGCAGAGAAGCCTTATTTTCTCACATTGAAGTTGTGCACTTCAAATAGAATCGCAGCTCTTATTTTTATTGTATTTAGATTATAAACATACTTTAATCTCTATTTGTGTTTCTCCTATATTGGGAGATTCCTAAGTTTCATGCTAACTTGTTGGCTTGCCGAGGAATAGGCATTAACTCTTAAGTTCTGGTCCCCTGCATCATGCAGTAAATCACCAAAACCTTTATTCTTTATTCCATCTCTACACTGATGAAATCTGCAAGCAATAGTTGTAATTTTATGTAAAAAAAAAAAAAAAAAAAAGGTGATATGTGATGAGATCACAGCAGGGGAAAAAAAGGCATTTTAAAAAAACACCACTTTCACAGAAACCACCGCTTAACTTCTAAGATATAATTTGTTTCGTAATATTGCATTATTTCATACATCTGTTTATTTGGAGTCCTTATTTTATGGACATCAAGTAGATTACAAATCATGTCTATTTTACTTATACCTACCGGTTTTTAGTAACGTGTTAGACGGTACTCAGCCTAGTTTTAGCAGCTTCGGCATCGCTTCAGTGATTATCCAATAGGAGGATGGAACCAATTTGGTTTGTTAAATCCAGGTGGCAACTTTGTTCCCCACAAACAGTGTTTATTTAAGTCAGTAACTGAGGTCAAAAACACAAAAGTGGCTTAAATTCTATGAATTAGGCTTCATTTTCTGAAGCAATAACACCCGTTAAACCAGGAAATGTGACTAAAAGTAAATGAAGTTAAGACAGTTTTTAAAAACAAATCTTACATGAATAACACATGAAGCAATCAGACAAGAAGCATGGAGTTCAGAACTAAGCAGCAGTTTATTGATTTTTGATCATTTTGAGTTGTTTTTCCATATATTTACATAACTCTTTTCAACATGACGGTTTTTTTTTTAAAGATATTTAACTAAACCATAAAAGTAAAATTGGATAATCTCTGGAAAATAGAAAAATATAACCTCTACAGTTACAGGTGTTAAATAGCAGATATATTTAACATTTTGAACAATCTGCTGGATCACTAGTGGAACAAGTCAGCGTGGGGTAAGGGGGCGTGGCTAATAACCAGGGGGCGTGGCTAATGACCGGACCCTTTATACCCAAATAATAAAGCTAATGATCATTTTACTTCACAACATAAATATGCCTGCAACCGAGGAGCTTCAACACCACAGAAAGCAACTATGTCATTCTGAAATCCATCTGACATGAAGTACATCAAACCAAGAGAGAACAACAGAAACGTCACCGCTGTAGCACCGACAGAGAGCAAAGAGGATGTTAGCCTGATGTTAGCTCGGCGGCTAGGCTGATACAATTTCCAGTCAGTCTACAGTTAACTCTCACTTTGTGAATAATCGCTGGTTCATCTTCAAGACAGGAACAAAATATTTGTCTAGTTTTTCCTCGTCGCTCCATGGAGCTTCACTCATGTTAGCTTAGTATGTAGAAATGCTCTAGCTAGCTCGTTTGCCATCTGTTGCCAAGTGACCGATGATGACGTTTGGTGGACGGGGTGACAAGCTTTACCCAGAATACACTTGGAGACAATAAGGACTAAATTTGTGTGTCATAAAGTTAAATTAAATGAAGCCAGTAATGAAGAACAACATTTTATTCAATATTTTACACCCACTATGTCACTAAAATCAGTCAGTCTGGTAAAGTTTTTAGCAAGCATGAGTCAACAATGACTGGGGCAGCCTACTATTTAATTTACTGGGGCAACATTTTATATGCAACAGGAGAAGGTCCACCCTGTCCAGCTCTCATCCTGATAAAGGCTTGGATCCCTGAATGCCTTGGATGCCTCCCATCCGGGGCCCACCGCCTCTCCAAACCACCTCGAAGCTCCGCCCCTGTGCTGGATGCTTCAAGAACAGGACAACGCCAAAGACCCTTCATTTAAACCTTAACTCATGCTGTTCACTACATTTGTGCATCTGTCATTATACATTAGGCACAACGTGAGTGAACTTTCAGAATCTTCTCCGCTGCACAATAATCACTTATATCATGTCAAGCAAAGCGACTCAACAACCCATCAAACTCTTGACGTCCCCATGAGAGCAAACATTCGATTTAACTTCTCAAATGAACCGAGACGTTGTGAAAAAGCGTTTATCCGTAATTACTCTGCGTCCGTTCTCGTCTGGCTGACTCTGCGCCTTGAAATATCCCTGGGCCACGGCGTTCCTCAAATAGCTTTTAAGACCTGGTGATGGCTGTTTCCGTAATGGCTCCATCATCTCATTTGCGGGCTGCGCTCTTATTGCGCAGCGCCTCGGATGGCACAACAGAAGCCAATTATTGGCGATGTCTTTAAGCTTGAATCGGAAGGAGGTGGGGATATATATATATATATATATATATATATATATATATATATATATATATATATATATATATATATATATATATATATATATATATATATATGCCACGATGGTTGACTTTGTTATGTTTCAATGCAACACAAATCTCTTTTTTCCATTCAGAAGCGTTATTGTTGTCAAATGGAAACAAAAAAAGCATGAAAATAATGAGGAGATTTTGCCATTTTTCTGCTGATCCTTTGTTAAAAACCAAATGCTTGTTAGCGATTAATTGGGAGTCCAAATAAAAAATAAAAAAAACATTAGCATGCACACACAGTCTATTGCCTGGCACTCTGCATATATAAGACTTCAGTCCACTGTAAAAATAGCCTGACGTGGCACGTCAACATCCCCCCTCTCAGCGAAGCACGTCATTATTTAAAACTTTCCTTTCATTTCAGTCTCCAGCTGAGACTTGTGCAGCAACAAGAACAATCATATTCAGTCGCCAAACAATTACAGAAAGGTTCGACTAAAGTGGGAGTGTGAATGTCTTCTTGTTCCAAACCAGGCGGAAGGTGGACCTTTTCCGCGCCTTTACGCATTCACAGCACAAGTGTGAGGGTCTTTACAAAAGGCTCATGTTGGATTTCCAGCTTGTCAAATGGAGTAATTGGAGGGGGAAAAAAATGAAATAAAAGCTGAGGTTGTTTATCACTGTGAAAGAAACTGCAAAGAAATTTCAATCTCGTGGATGAGTAGAAAAGATTTATGGCTGCACAAATTAAAAGCGCTCTGAAACAACAGAGCTGCATCGGATGAATACTGATTCATAGCTGAAGAGTGTTACGCTCTGATGTGTGCGCTCCTGCCACTTTAACACTCAAATAAAGCAGCAAGCACAGTGAAGAATATCCTCATTTATAGGGACTGCAGCAACCAATATTGTATAATTGGCCAGTAACATAATAATTTGGTCATTTTTAAACAAGTCATTAACACAATAACTTGCTAATGTTGTAACAGGTTATGACATTATTGGCTGGTTGCTACTTTTTTTTTTTTTTTTTGGTGTAGCGATACAAAAAATGAAACCACTTTAACCATTAATGGAAAAATATAGGCATAGGCCTAAACATCTGGGATATAAAAGATATTTTTGTGCGTCAAAACTTGCATGTTTTATTTATGAGTTATTGTTGCATCCATCAGTGGTGGCCAACATTCAAACCTCTCGCTCAAAATCTACAACTTTTGATTTCTAGCATGTGAATTACTTTGCTAAAATTAGTAATATTTTGAATATTTTATTGAATTTGACCATATTTGCATGTCATCATCTGGAAGTAAAGAGACACGCTGGTGAATAAGCCGTTACTGACTATTTATTAAGTACCCAATCTGGTAATAACTTATGTTATTAACAAGTTATTATAAATGGTCACAATAAAAACAACTTTTGGCTTGAATTAAGTTACCTGCTGTGGTTTCATTACAAGAATGGACTAAAGATGATCAAAAGAAGCCCGGAGACATTGAAATATTGCGAAACAGCCCTTTAATTTAGCACCTTTAATTTAGCAAATGTTACTATTAGCATCAATAGTGACTCATAGTTAGTGTGTGGCTATATCACCTTACAGTGGTTAAAATATGATGTTTCATAGATTTTATTTTGCTTTACTTTCTTCCTGATCCTGTTTGGTAAATCCCAACTTTTACATCATGAGACACTGAACAGTGAGCATAATGTTTGTAACCACAATTACCACAAAAGGCTCAGAACTGTTTCCTTTCCTACTTCAAATTAAAAGTCTCAAACCAAGACAAAGACTGTTTTAATATATTTTCCGATCTCATGCAACAATATTCTATCAGATCCCTGCTTACTTCCTGTAAAATCAAAATCCCAACGCACTATTTGCCTGGATGCGCAATCTGGACATAGAACTCTAAAAAATGCATTATTTGCATTTCAATCCAGTTTCAGAAAATCAGGGGCTGGATTTGATTAATTTTGTGGAACTGGATTCGCTACACACACACATAGAACCTTTTTTAAGGAAAAGTTTTACACATTTCTCATTTTTTTATTCCATTACTTCCCAACAAATCCTATTTTTTCTGTGACAACAAAATAATTAAGTAATTAGTGTTTCACTCAAACTATATGTACATATAAAAATTTATTTTCTTGCACTAGCTTTGGTTCAAATAAGACATCTTTATTTTGTTAAACCATTAAAAATAAAATGAATATATATATATATATATATATATATATATATATATATATATATATATATATATATATATATATATATATATATATATAGTGGCACTTTTACACATTCAGATCTAAAGTGCTGAAGCTTTTTTTATATATATTTATATAAATAATATAACAGTGTATGTATGTGAACACAAACTTATAAAACAACCTAAGCTCCAAAGATGACATCCATTCAAATTACTTTTAGTCGCCTGAATAGTTTGTGTTTGTCGCCACCTGGTGGCTATTTAGTCAACACTGATTGTTCGATTGATTTTCTATACTTTTGGTACTCTGCTTTTCACCTCCTATTTATATTTATAAGTTGGATGTTTTACCTCATACTTTAAAAACTTAGTATAAGGCTACTTTATATCCACTGAATCAATATAAAAATCTAAACCCATATATTAAAAAAACACTAGATGTAAAACACACTGACATCAGGTACAATCAGCAGTCTCCTGGATTGCTGCTGAACATTTTTGATTTTTTACTAAGTTTATATGGCATTCAGAAGGTACCTTGAGTTCTGCTTTAACATTATATTTCTTCATGTCTGGTTTTGTTCATATGGTTTTTATTTTTTATTTTTTTTTACCAGAGTAAGGCAATCAGATATGGCTAAGGTTATAGCACAGATGTGCATGCTCATGCATCTACTCTTACCTAAGTCTAAACTCCTGAAATTCTTGTCATTTAGAGTCAGTCCGAAGCAGCTGCTTGGAGCAAAAAGTAAAGATCTGCTGGTTTGTAGCTGTTTGTTTTCGTTACCTCATTATGCAACAGCACAGGCGGAAATCTCACTCATGTCTCAGAGTTCAGACAAAGGTGTTGTACACATGACTTCAGTTTGTCTCCCAGTCAAAATGGCTGTGAATCTGTAACACCAGGCCACCCGGCTGTCTGCGTCGGCCGTGCGGAGTCAGACGTAGATGCCTTCTGGGTTTAGACCGGAGGAGACCCTGCTCTGCAGAGCGCGGAGATCGCTGGGTAACAGCCGCGACGAGCCCAGCCGTTTCAGGGAGCCACACTCCACATCTGTAGATGCAAGAGTTGATCAAGAACGCTCAGTCTTCTTTTTGTTTACACAACTAAAGCTTAAGTTAAATCGCTCACAGACTTCTGCCTCATCTAGTTACAATCTGATTATTCTGTTATTCTGGGTTCGTCCACAAGGTGGCACTGAGTTTCTATAGATAAAACGTCAATAGTGTGTAAACATCACAGGAGCCAAAGAGGTAATGAGCTATGAAATTGAAGTTTTATGAAACTGACTTTTGCCTTAGATTTGTGTGTGTGTGTGTGTGTGTGTGTGTGTGTGTGTGTGTGTGTGTGTGTGTGTGTGTGTGTGTGTGTGTGTGTGTGTGTGTGTGTGTGTGTGTGTGTGTTGTGTGTGTGTGTGTGCTTTAGGTTCCTGGGCTGGTGCTCACCGTTGTTGTCTCCTGTGGGTTGAGCGGGCAGCACCGTGACCTTGGTGCCAGTCTGCTGGATGAACTGCTGCAGGTTGACCTGCCGCAGCTCTTTAGTTAGCTGCTCAAGCTCCTGCTCTTTCTCCTGAGGTAGAAAACAAAACACCGTGGGAACTAAATGAACTACCAACTTCTTCATTTTTCTTCTTCATTGTAAGGCTAACTTACATGCAAGATGTTCATATAACTTTGAATTTTTTTCTTTTTTTTTGTGACATTCCTAAGGGTGTCTTTTACCGTAATGCATTTCTTATCGCGTTAAAATTTTGATTTATTACATAATTATTGTTATCACAATACTGTTGTGTAAAATATGATGTTAGAAAACCCCTAAAACTCTCCGTATTATCACGTCTATTCTTTTTGTGATTGTTGTCCTAAAGAACTATATTGCTGATGGCAGCATGTTTTTCAAGAGACGTATTTGTGCTAGTAGGGTTTTAAACTTGTGCCATGCAGTTATAAAGTTACAAATAGTTCTTATCGTGACAAGAGTATTGTATTGGAACTATATCAGGTATGAAAACACAAAGTGCATAGTTGATAAGTTCAAAATTCAACTTTTTAACATAAAGACACACACTATCAAATCTTACTAATGTCATTTCACAAGAACACAGGCAAAAGTGGCTAAATTGCATCATTTTTCTAACACTTCATAATTTATCATAAAATTACCACTGTTCTAAAATTATGGTTATAAATTCGACCAGAATGTTTGAAATCTGCTCAAAATCCCTCAAGCCGTAACCCAGTTGCGACAGCGGGTTGCCAGAAGGTTAAGCAACCTCTGGGAAGAAATTGCGTATTTATTACGCCCCGCGCTAATCAGCCAAAGAATGCTGTTAATACCCTCCCCTCCTCTTCTTATTACCTCATACTCCTCACATCACAGCAGACGCAGTCTGTAGAGGAAAATTTCGTTTCATAAGAGGAGGCGCAGAAGCAAAAATCCACTGCACATCCCAGCAAGCATCGCTGCCTGCAATTTAAGGAGCTCAGACTTCTGCGGTTCCACCTGTTCACAGATCACTGGCTTCTCTCTGCAGCTCCAAAGTTATCCTGCATTTTCAGAAAAACTTTCACAACCTTTTCTGAAAACTTTCGAGGCCATTTGGAGCATCTTGGGTTTTTTTTATTTTTTAGGTTTTTTTGAGGCAATAAAAGCCTGACAGTTTTGAGGCTGGAGCGCCAAAAAAAAAAAAAAAGTCTGATTTAAATGAATAAAATGGGAGCTGACCTGGAGTGTTTTGCCCGACTGGCAAAGCGAGCGCTCCAACGCCTTGCAGCTGCTTTCCAGCCGCGCCGTTTGTTGGCTCTGCACTTCCAGCTCTGCCCTCACTTTCTCCAGCTGGGCCTGCACCTGGAATCAGGAGTTGAAGGAAAACACTCATCAAAAGTTTGAAGGAGAAGCAAGTAAAGGGGTTTGGTAGCTTATTAACTTCTACTGGGTGGTTAACAACAAAACAAAAAAAAGCCAAAGGAAGTCGAGATTAATAATATGTCATGATATTAAAAACTCCTGCTTGGGATAAACCTTTCATTTGTCAGGTGTTTAGTTTAAACAGGACATTCCTTTCTCTTTTCGGCTCGGTGTGTGTTTGGAAAAGCAAGATGAACTGATTTGTACCTCTTCCTCCTTGACCTTCAGGTTGAGCTCAGCCTCCTGCTGCAGTCGCTCCTTCTCTAGTCCTGCCTCCATACTCTAAATAAAGCAGCAAACATCACTGCAAAGCCTTATGGAAACAGTCATCTATCTCAGTACGCCTCTCTTGCCTTCTAGATATGTTCCCTCTAAAATATGTTTTATTGGGATTTTAGGTTTTAAACCAGCCCACAGTAGCGACCCATAATTGCAGGGGTGAAAGTGCGTAAATAGTTTTCAACATTTTTTTTTGATAGGTCTCTGAAAACAATTATATGTTTTTGCATTTAAAGCTGGACATGGAGAAGTAGCATTCAGTTCCAAAAAACTGCAAAGATGCTGAAACACTGCAAATTGGATTTCTTACATTGCAGGACTCCTGCTGTTTGCAGGTGCAGTAAGAACGGCGGAATCACGCAGCTCCTCTGTATCGAAGGGCTCACCTGAATGCGCGCTAAGTACTCAGAAAGCCTGCTTTCGCAGTCGCGCACGCGGCCCCGCAGCTCGACGAGCTGCTGCCGCAGCTGCCGCTCGCTCTCCTGCTCGATGTGGAGCTCGTTCTGCCAGAACTCATCCTCCTCCGCCTCGGCGTCGTTCCTCCTCACCTGCTGCTCCAGAAGCAGCAGCTCGTCCTCCACGTTTCCTTCCTGGTAAGTGGAAAAATAAGTGGAATTGTTGCGCAATTTTTTTTTTCTTCACGGAAACACTCGGCTGGCCGCTGTCGGTCTCACGTCGCTGGCCTCCTCCCAGTCTCGCAGCTCGGCCTCGCAGCCCTGCAGACGGCTCTCCAGGGCCTGCAGCTTGCCGCGCTGCAGCTGGACCAGCCGGCTGAGCTCCCTGGCTGGACTCCCAGGCACAGATGCCGTCCCACCGCCTCCAACTCTGCTCAGGTTCAGACTGACGCCCCGCTGCTGAGGCTGTTTGGCTGAGAGTAAAAACAAAGTTACAAAATAAAAATCACACAAATTTTATATCTGTTGTAAAAAAAATGAAAGAACACCTTCGGCGTCTTTACTTTTTCCAAATATTTCCCGCAGTCCTCTGGCTCCTCCGCTGAAGGTCAGAGACTTGCGTTTGGGTTCCCTGCGTTTGAGCGAGCCGTCCGTCCCCGCGGGCCGCAGCTTGGCTAGAGGCGGCAGGCTCTGCCGGTACAGGCCCCGCTCCGGGACCCGAGCCAGCCCTTCGCAGGTCGGCCGCTCGCTGACGGAGGGGCCGGTCCGCTGGAGGATGAGCTGCACTTCGCTGGCATACTGACCCCACTTGTTGAGGGACACCACGGGGTTCTCATGCGGGGCCAAGTGGCGCTCCGTGTCTCGCCATTTCTCGATCAAAGTGTACCTGCCGGTGCGTCCTGGGGGGAAGAAAAGCGAGTCAGAATCTCTGGCATTATTTAGAATGTGCTTTATTACCTTTTAATATTTTCAACTGGAAGGATGAATAAAAATCAACAAAAATTGTTGAAATTCCACAAATAAAAACAAGAACAATATAATCTGTATGTATCCCCCGTCTTTAGCACATTAAAAAAAAAACAAATGTTGACTAAAGTGCTGCATAATTCAGTGAAATAAAGACAACAATATTAACATGAAACATATATAAAAGGTCAAAACAAAATGCAACTATACTTTATAAATAAAACTCAAACTGCTCAAATGAAGCATAGATTTAAAAGTCTCGACAGTCTCACTGATCTGTTCCAAAGTTTAGCAGTCGACTTGTGCATAATTTAACCTCAGTACAAATACATGTGAACAAACATAATAAGGTACACAGTAGGTCAGAGACAAAGATGTATGAAAGTTTGAAGGAGGAACAATTTTGACAGATTTCGATCCTGAAATTAAAAAAAATGTCAAGAAATCCAGTTTAAACTGGTTGTAATTCCAGCAAAAGGTGGTTCTGCGTAGTGAGTTAAGAAGGCTGGATATAAATAAACACCACACTTGTACATGAAAGTCCGATAAAATTCTGCTCAATGAAGCTTGTGGCTGAAACGCAGAAAAGGCTTAAGGAGGCTGAATAGTTTTGTGAGGCGGTGGACATATGAGGCCAGACCGGAGTTTAGATAATAACCTCTGCTGTGGCGTCAACAAAATCCAAATAAACTCGGAAAGCCGGGCGTGAAAGTCGAATTCGCACCGTGAAAAGAACAAAACTTGGTCAATAAATTCTTCCACGGCTCTCCCACGCTCGTGCACCACCAGCGCATTCAAAGCGCTCCACCAGTGTTGACTGAAAGAGTTTTTACGGTGGGAAAATTCGACTCAACAAGCAGCGATTGTGAGGGGCTGGAGGCTCAATGGTGTTGCAGTTTGTGTATGTGTGTGTGTGTGTGTGTGTGTGTGTGTGTGTGTGTGTGTGTGTGTACTCTGCATTCTAGCCTGTACACATGTAGATAAGAGCAGACCACTGCCTGTTTCACCCTCAACCCCCATCCTGCACAGTAAGGATCCTTGTAAAAAAAAAAAAAGAGAGAGAGAGAGAAAGAGGAGCATTCATCAGTGCAGCCATTCACATCAAAGTGGTCCGGCCGCCTGAACAAAAGGCAAAGAGGACACAAAGGACAGTGAATGCCACACATCTTGCTGCTCTGCCACTTTGACAGGCCTGTTTGAGCTCTAATGTGTCTAAAGGGTCGGCGAAAACGAATCGGAGAAATAGGGAGCCGCACAGAACAGCTCGCATATTGTCTGTTAAAGGCAGCATGCTAACTTATTTCACTGCAGCTCCTTGTCAATAAACCAAGAACTGCTGCAGTATGACTCATCTCATTCTGTAAAGGCTTATTTATGGGGAAAATATTCATGCCCTACAGTTACCTCTCATCTTTCTGCAATCCATCACCCAGAGTCAGTCTGACAACTTGCCCACCTGATATTAAGCGCATCGCAGAAAACGCAAATTTATCTCACTTAAAACGTAATCTAAATCACACGTCATGTCCTGTCAAATTGAGAGTGTGTGACAAAATATCTCTCGTTTTGTACGAAGCATTGAACTTACCAATCGCTTGTGCCAAAGCGATGACCACTTCCTGGCAGGTGGTGAACTCTGTGACCCCGCACACGATGCGCTGTACGCCGTCCACCCAGACTTTCAGCTCCATGGGCTTCATCCAGAGGCCCTCATTCCTCCATTCCACCAGGGGGAGCTCTTAGTGGTTTATTCTCACACCCTGTAAGCCAGCAAGTGAAAACGACACTTAGAATTATAGCAAATGTGTGTAAAAAGGCACAATTCAATCAGTGGAAAGTTAAAATTTGCTTTTATCATCTTTATTATAAGTCAGTTTATAATAGTGTCAGAGTCACTTGTCAGAGCTGTGTAAAGGCTAAATTTTTAAAATCAAACTTTTTCCTAGCTTAAAAAAAGGAACATTTTATGATTAATCAGTCACAAAAACAGTGTTGATACTAAAGGAGCCCTATTATCACTTCAGCCTTAATGATAAACCAGCTAATATGAGCAGTTATGACAATTCTGACCAAGAAGGGGCCCGCCACAATTTTTTAACATTTTAATTTCAATTTTTGTTCATGACAATAAAAAAAAATGGAGCAAGCCTTTAAAATTGTGACGCCTTTGATGGGTCAGATAGACTCAAAAAGCATAGACAAAATAGACAAAAAGATAGACAAAAACTTGGGGCCCCAAGTTTTTGTCATGGGGCCCCAAGATTCCTAGTGTCGCCCCTGAGCTTAACTCCTAAGATCAAAGCTCTTTGGGCCACAGCGAATTATAAAACAAAATCAACAAGCTCGTTTCCTTCCAGTTATTTCCTAAACGACTTTCCAACCACTAGAGAGCCCGGCTATAAGCGAGCTGAGAAAAATCTTGACGTCGACACTTGTTCTTTGGAAAGCGGTTTCATTTAATGCTCCCGATGAACAGTCACAAAAAGCACCCCTGTGGTTCAGCAATTGTAGCTGTGTAATAGAACCGTTCCAATATATTTTTTCATTTGCAGGCACTCGGTGCTGGAAAAAAAAGAAAGAAAAAAAGAAAGAGAGAAAGCAAGAGCGTACGGACACAAAATGAGAGCCATTTTCAAAGTGCTGACACAAGCATCAGCAGCGGGGCGGTCATTACGAAGCTGGCATCGCCTCAACAGCAGTTAAAGTGCAGCGGCCTAATGCTGAGTGGTGCAACCTCACTGAGCTGCAGAAACGAGCCATCAGTTCAGCTCTGATTGTTCAACGCTCATGTCGTTTGACATGGAGTTAAAGGCAGCTTCCATCTTCATCACAGCTGGAATGGGACCACTGCCCACCTCCCCCCGGTAATTTAACTGCTAGATGTTCTCCCGGTGAGGCGGCATTGTGCCGCACACCCTGCCACACGGAATAATTGTCTACGAGGTAAAAACAGATCAAATCTGATCTCAGATGCCAGCTGTGATCGAATGAAAAGCATTAACGCAAATGGTTTGCAACTTTTTCATGTTAGAGTCATAAACTTCAAAGTGTTTTATTGGTTTTACAAGATTTTCAATAATTTTTTTTGTATAATAAAAGCAGAAAAGTCTAGCTTGAATTTGTGCTTAACCTCCTTTGTGAATCCTTTATAGAAATGCTATTAAGAATTTTTTTAAAAAATTATTCCTCTGTTGTTGTACGGGGCTAGTTTTCCTTTCAAAACTTGACATTTTCATACATGCACTGGGTCGAGCAAAGAACTACTAGAGTCCTATTAATACTACTTTCCACTTATCTGAACATACATAAAACAATATAGCTTTCACTCAAATCTCTGAAGGGGTGACAATGCATGAAGACTAGTCAGAGTAAGGAGAAAAAGAACTGAAAGGTGAGAATAAAGTTTTGTTTTTCACCCGAATACAGTTCGTGTTTTCGGCCAAACTGCGGCTTGGAGGATCATCAGTGTTCCTGCAGGTGATGATGGCTGACATGGTTGTGAAAATGGCGTGAGCAGAGACCCCAAGCGGACTTTTCAGAACCTTAAAGTTCACGCTTTGATTTCATCAAGACAACATTTTCAAAACAAGCTCGACTTGTGTTAATACTTTGGTGAGAGACTGTTCAACTTTGCTCATTATAGCGACCAACTCTTTGATCTGTGGCTCCGGATTTAAACCGTGTGGCTTTTCCAAGGACACTTTGGCATGCGGAGGAGCCGAGAGATCGGCCTGCCCGCTCTTCAATTAGAGCGCAACCTGCTCGACCATCTGAGCCGCATCTGTCCAAGGTGAAAGCTCAGACCAACAGCAGGACAAACAAAACGAAGCAGATGGCGGATGTTTCAAAATTAGGCCAGGAAACAAGTTGCGACTGCGTCAGCTTAAGGCATTAGACGTCGAGGCTTTCACAAAGTCCAGCTCTGCTCTCCTATCATTTGTGAAGTCACACTTTGTAGCATTCACACTTCCTGCTCACATGCTGCACCAATGTGATCGTTCTCATGGCAAATCTCCAAATCCCACTCAGCAAATGACATCTGCCACCAACTTGGGAATGTAATCTCTCATGAAACTACACTTGGATGCACACGTCGTTTTTTGCGTCGAGACGAGAATTCAAACTGCTCTGTGCTACAATCTGCAATGACAAAAAAGAGCCCAACAGAGCAGAAAACAAAACTCCTAATCAACGGCATCAACAGTAAAATAATTGGTGTTCTAGTGAGACTGAAATGTGAAAAATAAATGTTTTTTTTATTATTATTATTTATTTTGTTGTGTAAAGAAGGACTAGCAGGAATGCCTTTTCAGGAATAACTTACAAAACAAGAAATAATATAGATAATGTCCATAAAGCTCACTGATAGTCAATGGTAATGAACTTCAGCAGTCATAACTCTAACATATTGATTCCTCACTAATACGTCAATGCTCTCTATCATCAGTCACACTTGAGACCAGAAAAAGACACAAACACACCTTTTTCTCCTCACTATTTGAAGTAAAAATTAGACCAAGTTTCTCTTGTTATAGATCAGTTAGAATTTCCAAAATTATTTCTATATTTCTATAAAAGCCACAATAACACCTGGGATTCACTGCTTTCAAGAACATTATGAGGAAATACTGAAGCAGCGTCTGAAGACGTCAGCCAGGAAGTAAAAGGTTGGGTCCAAATGGGCCGTTCAACCACTATAAGCATGCAGCCAAAGTAAGTGAATTTTTGGTTTCCACAGTATAAAATAATAGCATGCAGGTTGTTTTTTTTTTCTACCTGTATTGGTAACTTTGCTGCTGAAGGTTTGAATATTTCCTCATTTCAGAGACGTTTACCTTCATCTATAGCAGCGTTTCCACAGGTGGATGGAAATAAAAAATAAATAAATATTCAACCAATTTCTAAAGTTAGCTTTAGCCATGCAGGACAGAAACCTGCTGGAGGAAGTTATAGATGAATATTGATGTTTTTGAGGATGTCATACTGATATTTATTGGTCACTAGATCCAATAATTACATTTCCTCACACAACTGATCGTGTGAGGAAATACAAAGTAAACATGGGCCGATTCCCAGTATCAACAACTATTGATGTTTTAAAACCTTTTGACTTCATAGTTGCGAAAACGTACCGTCATACCTGATGTTTTTCTCCATCTCACAGTGAAGAAACACTGCCCTGTCCCCACCTGTTGCTGCACTCTGCCAGTAGGCTGCTATAAAACGAAAAAAACTACTTTCAAATCGCAAAAGCAAACACATCCGACATAAGTTGCGAGAAACCAAAGGAGCCGCACCCGCCTCAGTTTTTCATTCGTATATCGACAATTTTTCTGTCTAGTTTCTAGTGATTCTTCTTTCAGTGTTGCTGTTTCATTACATCACAGCACCGCTACTATGAGGGAGACAAAAACAAACAAAGGGAAACAACACAAAGCTATACAAAGTAGAACAGAGTCGCAGGCATTGTGCAAAATAGTAACATCAATGTGCCCACAGCCCCCCTCCTATTTGCCTTCTTGCAAGCGAGGCAGATGTTCAAATGTTCTGGTCCAAATAAGCAGAACTAAAAGCTCCATGTTCCTGGATGTCTGTGTGACTGAGTTGTCTGAACAACTTAAGAGACTCACAATGGCTGATGTCAGAAGAAACTAGTTGAAACCCACAGGCTAACGAGGCTTTGACCTGGAAACCCTAAAGGTCAGGCTGTTAAAGCCGAATTCTGTCCTAAACTGATCCAGGTGCATCGACGATGGACCCGTCTGCTTCCTCGTGGAAATGAGCTTCGATTTTTCTCTCCCCTGCCGGGAACGCGCAGCTCTCCAGTCACTATGGAGACTATTGCTACGCCTCGGCCGCCTCCGCCACTCGCTCCCTGCAGCCGCCGGCAACGCAGCGGCTCTGAATTTCCACGATACCGTTTCCATTTTCTTCCTTTATGGCCTCGGCAGCACTTACTTTGATGCTCCCTCTGCCAGCGTGTAAATAAATAAACCATACCAAGCGAGCCTGTATAAATTAGCATCCTGCGAGGGGGGGGGGGGTTCTATTTTTGGAGCCGCTTCATTGTAAATGCGCGCTCTCATGTTTTGGATCCGCTCAGCGGGTTGTGTCCAGACCGTTTTGTCAGAACATGTGGGAGAAGTGCTGCAACCGTTTTAATAAAGCGTCAGAGTCAGCGCTGCATATTTCAGCTCCACTGAACAGTTCATGCACGAGGAGGGGGGTTACCTTTCAACCACAAATAAGAAAAAATAATAAATATATACATATAGAGTCACTCAGCGGTTTGAGATTCTTACGTCAAGTAAAAATACAAAGATAACATACAGAAAACTTTAAAAAAACAAACCTCTAAGTGTTTTCATTTTCAACAGAAAAGAGATTACATCTACCACTGTTAGAAATAATCTGATGTATTTTTATGGCACCATTTATGATCAGCTGAATTTGAGCAGAATACCGATGAGGGTTATGTTTCGCTACATTTAAGAGCCAAATTTGTCTTCTCAAACTTGCTTTCCCTCAACACCAGAATTGAGCAGCAACAAGTGGGGGAGGGTCAGTGTTGCATTCCTGTATTCTCCATTCAGACAAAAAAAAAAAAAAAAACCTCTCTGGAATCTACTTAAAACCACTCTAAAGTAAGACCAAAATAAAAGCAAGACATGCTGCAAATGTCCAGGTCAGGAGTCCTGTCTCGGACACTTGTGTCCAAATAGTGAATATGAGGTGACGGCTCTAATGCCGTCCCCATGTGTCAAGTATTCACTCTCAGCACCCATAAATAGCAATAACCTTCATCTCTGGGAACAGATTTTTTTTAAAGTCAAAGGCGTCGTTCTGTGTGTCACCGATGCGATTTTTACGCATTTTGTGCTCGAGTGTCGCGCTCACTGCACCCATCCACAAGTATTGTTTTCCAGCATTGCTAGGATAACAATAGAGCAAGAGATTTAGAAATCTACTTTAGTTTAGAAAAAAAAACCAACAATTTATTCAGGGATGTTTACAAGGTGCACGATTCACTTATGTGCTAAGAATCAATTGAAGGGATGTACTGAAGGAAGTAGCCGGTGAGTACTTGTACTGTTACTAGCACATATCAGAATCAAGAGAGGACATGAAAACAATGCAAAGTGTTGAGTGTCATTATTTTCATGACATCAAGAAAATTGCAACAAAACGGAAAGTCTGCTGCTATCAATACAAACCCCTCAGTCAGGCAGGTTTTGCAGCAGCCGTTTTGTTAGCGACATCAGGAATATCCTGCTGTCTGGCCTGCAGACCACAGAGCTAATCTTAGTTGTGACTCCAGTCTGCCTCCCCTGAAGCTTCATTCCCGGGATGCCACAGGAAGGCTGAGCCCAGGAGGAGACGCGGCACACCGAGGTTGGGTCACTTATTAGATTAGCTAAAAAAAAAACTCCCAGGACAACTAATTGCAGTTAAAATCGGGCTTTAGTTGCAAACCTAACACTTCATTTCCTATTGTCTTGAGCTCCCCGCTCTCTCTGTCTTTTGCTTAATTAAAGTTTAACAAACTCAGCGATTGGGGTTGAACTCCTGACCCTTAAATTTGACACTCCAGTGAAGCAAAAAGAGAAAAAATAAATTGCAAACGCCACAGCAAACATCAGAATTATGATGCAATCAGAGGACAGGCTTTTTTAGATGAGTGCTGGAGCTCAGAGTGTTTTGGAGTTTGTGAGGTGTTTGGGGGGCCTGCCGAACCGAACGGCGCTCAAACAAAAGAGCGTGCTGCAATGTGTGCGTGAGCCCACATGCCCGGTGGCATGACTGGACACAAACAATCCCTCGCCATAGCAACCCGGCTCTGGCTTTGTCCAAGCTTTGTGCACGAACTGGGAAAAGGAGGCCAAACAATCTGCGACAATCAAGAAGCAAGCGGCGCTTTCCTGTTGCTTCCTCTTTGTGTCCCTTCAGCGAGGGGGACGAGAAAGAACGGCGGTGTGAGCCGCAGCGGGGTTTCTCAACTTTACGGTTGGGCGAGGTGGCTGGATTCTTGTCTCCTGCTGCAACTCATGGAGCAACTGTGTAATCCCTCCAAAGAAGATATTAATAACTGACTGTGGAGTAATTCAACTGATGTATTAGTCCAGGACACGATAGCATTTTCTACGTGTACGAAGGCTTACAGTCTGGACTCCAACTCTGATTTTTTACTCTGTTAAACTTGTGGAAATTTAATCCCATTCATCCATTCATCCTGCTTAATCTGTACGGGGTGAAGGGTGTATCCCCAGTGTTCAACATCCACTGATGTTGTTGACCTAATTAGGTTTCCGGATTAGCAGATGCTCTAATTGACTGTAATTGGAGCTGGCAACTTTTGAGATTGATCAGGTGGATGAGTGAAAATGTGATCTCATGTAAAAAACAACAACCAAAACACAAATAATGAAATAACAAAAAGGTCAAACCTAAACCTGACAGCAATCGTGCAGGCAGCCAACAACCCCAACTTACAGTCTGTTCAGCCTAACAGTGTAAGAAGTTCCTCTTGTTCAGACTGTCATGTTCAGTGCCATGCTAGTGCTGCGCCGGTAAAATGGCAGCCAGAAACGCTAATGTCAGCAGGTGTTTTCTATACAAGGAAATTCAATTAGATATGGACCCTTGTCCAGAGACACGATGTCACTTTCCTTGATGGAGTGTCCTGGACTCAGTGGTCCCTTCTCATACAGTAATGCACTGATGACTTTGTGCTTTAGAGTTGGCAAGTCGCCTCCTCCCACTGTAGTATCCTCCTCCTGCCCCTCAGTGTTACATCTACTGCAATCTTTAAATTATTTCCGCTCAGTGAGGCTTTTTCTCTCTCTGGTTTAGAGTTTGTTAAAAAAAAAAAAACATAAAAAATGTCAATGGCTGGAGACCAGCAGGCTTGGACAAACATTCCTCGGAGGTGCTGAATGAAAAGTTTCAGGAGGTGATCAGCCTGGAAAGTGGTGCATTCAGCCGCCGTCGGTCAGCTGCGAAACACAACGCGTCGTGTTGATTCTAACTAGAACGCACATGAGGGCAGCGTTTCGGGTGCGCCGCGTTAAGTTACTGGGAAGACGTCACGATCGCCACATCGGAGCGACGAAACCGCCACCATGCAACCTCAAAAGTTGAAACTAATCAGATTGATGAAGACAATAAGCCTGTAAGTCTGGCGGCTTAGCTGACCACGTGATGAGAGGAGGGGGAGGGAGTCTGATGAAAGACAAAGATTTACTCCAGTAATTCTGTTAAGACTTTTTTCCTCTGCAGAGGCTCAAATCATACAGGCAAAGAACAGGACGGATGATTTCTTCCTGTCCTGAAAAACCTACCTTGGTGTCTGATTCATAGTCTATTACATCACCTGACAGCTGAAAGCAAATAAATAACTGGTAATTTGCATAACATAACATTTACCTTTATGATTGTGAATTTTTTTACTTTTGAGAAGTACCCAGAAAACATCGCTAATAATGCTTAAGTTGTGGTTGAATATATAAATCATGATGCTACATATGGATACTGGACATTTCATATCATCAGAAGCTAAATGTGATATTTTAAATATGGGATACAAGGTTATTCATATTTTGAGTTTTTAAAAAAATCTTTAAAGTTGAGAGGAAATTTGAAAATATCACTTGTTAATTCTGTATCATTGAAAAATTGATAGAAGAACACCAACTATAAAGCCTGAAAAAATGCAGATATATTAAAAAGACTTAAATAAATTAGCAATGGTTAGCCTGGTGGGGGCACAAGTAAAGCCTGGTGGCCCGCCAGGCTGATAATACACTTAGGAAACCCGAATGCATTATGACCACAAGCTCAACACTGTGTGTCAAAGCAACCCTTACCATTTAAGGAACTAGCATTCCTTATCACATCCACTGCCCTAATATTCTCCTTATGCTTAGCATAACTTCTAACTTGGGGTGCATTTTTAACCAGATTTAAAAAACAAAGGTGTTTGCTGTAAGTGATGCTTCTGATGCATCACTTATAAAACACAGACAGCAGTACATTTGATTGAAATAACTCTATGCCGGTTGCTCTAGCTGCTCACTTTGCTTCTGCTCTGGGCCGGCTTGGCCTCAAAGTGCTCCTACTACCAAACACACAACTGCTGGCTGTGATCAAGTTGCCTTCCAGGCCCCTTGTTTGCTCTGCTGTGGGTCAATCACTCAAGTTAGGAAAGTTTTGATTAAAACCCACTGCTGAGTGGGTCACACACAAACCAATCACCTCCACACTCACTGTCCAGATCAATGACGGCTCATTGATCTGGTATGTTTGTTCTGTCCAGGACACATGGTGTCTTTACTTCCTCCTACAATCTCTGGAATATTTCTCTGGACTTGTCGCTCATATAGGAGCAGGACAAAAAAACAACAAAAATATGAAAGTATGCAACAGCTGAACAGTGAAACTAAACAACACAGCCTGAAAGCCAAACAGTGTGTCCGTTATGTTTTCACGCAGTGCGCGAATCTCAGCCGCATACCTCCCGCAGCTCGCCGCCTGTCGGAGCCTGTAGAGGAGCCGCCCCGGCGCTCCGGGGCCCCCGGTCTGCCCGAGTGAAATTCACCGCTTCCTGTGGCGTGTGGAGCAGGTTGAGATCCCGGCTTCAATCCGCGCCTTTCCGCTCCTGCAGGAGTTAACGCTGCGCAGCCTCTTCCTCCTCCTCTTCCTCCTCTTCCTCCTCCTCCTGCTGCTCTGTGAAGCCGTGTGGATGTAAACACCACTCGGTCCGTCCCGACTTCGGACATCCGACACGAAGGCTGCCCGGATGCAGCATCCGCTGCTCTGCCCATCAGTGGCGGGGACGCGACTGGTGAATTGGATCGGAACATCACCGCGCCGCGCCGCCGCAAGGCATGATGGAGCTTTTTAAAGCTTCGCCGTGCTGGAGGTGAACACATGGACGGACCCAGATCGGCTCTGGTCCAACGCAGACACGTTCAAGATGCTGTAGATGCGATGAACGGGGGGAAAAAAGAGACTTTCATCACCAACAATCACTCAGTTAAAGGATGGATTTCCTCAGCAATGTTTTATTTTTTTTTTAAATTGCAAAGTCTTTAAGAAGGCAATTTAGAAAAAAAAACCATCAGTTTTCCTCTGTGTTCCTGGATCGATGACGTCACAAGAGGCACAGCTATTCAGCCAATAAAGGTGACATGGAAAGAGTGAGCTAAAGCGTCACTCAGTGCATTGAGTTTTTTTTTTTTTTTTTAAATGGTGGTACAAACACTTAAAAAAACACATACAAGACACCCGTAAAGGTGCAAATACATCATCCAAGCAGGTTTTACATACACAAATACAAACTGCTGCCTCTTCTCTGTCCTCACTAAAGATGAAAAAGATAGCATTATGCTTGTGGATGCATTCCAGAAAGTACATGTTAGATCTTGCAACAGAACTTCAATTAAAGCTGCAAGCAGCCTCGAACGGCCCTCGCAGCCAAGCGCCGCTCCGGCCTATTGCCACCGCGGGGTACTAGCAACCGTCGCCTCACGTCAGCCACCACAGAAGCTCTCACGCAGTTATCAGCTCCTGCGCCCGCACCGCGGAAGCTGTTGCTCAGTTTCCATCAACGCTGGCCACGTGCTAACACAGAAGTTGTTGCGCAGTTTCCACGCCCGTCCACCAGGCGGTACGCACTGATGCGTTTGGAGGCGCTCCTTGACGATGCAAAAAATGTGGTGCAGATTCATTGGTTTAGCGAGGAAATATAGCTGGCGGATTAATGTAGGACGCGCAGTCAAGCCAAAATATATTTCAATGTTGTTGTTCTCTAGAGGTCAACAAAGGTCATACGTATCCAATTTGGCGTCAGTCGGAAGATCCACGTGTAATTTACAGCCGATCATATGCACATGGCGAAGTACTACAGTTCGTCATTTTTCATCATTTTCAGCTGTTTCTAAAGCACTCTATTTCATTGTTGGAGTAATTCTTACTGAATTACTGAAATGGTTTGTAAGAAGTCAGAAAACGCTACATTTACTGCATGATTTAATTCAACAAAAATTATCTGAGACATTTCTATCCTTTTAGAAATTTCATGGCAACGCTCTCACAAAGTTTTCGCGCCCATCCGCCCATGGATCTGTCATTGGTGGAGGAACACTGACACCTACTGGCGAAATACTGATATTGTTGTTCATCCTGTTTATCTGCTGTTTCATTTGTGGAGCAATGACCCCAAGTGGCGAATTACTGACATGGTTTATAAACACCAAAAATAGGATCAAAATCTGAACTTCAATCTAAAATGGCCGACTTCCTCTGGGGTTTAGACCATGGCTCCAAGAGACTTTTTTGTAAGTCCTGACATGGTACAAACGTGTACAAAGTTTCGTAATTGTAGACTAAAGCATGGCTTGGGGCTGATCATTTAAAATTTTCTAGGGGGCGCTGTAGAGAAATTAGGCCACACCCTACAAATATTGTGATGGATTCTTGTCAGGGAGTGGATGAAGATCCATCCTTGTGAGTTTGGAGCAGCTGCGCCCAAAAATGTGGAATTGAGAGCCAAATGTATGGCGATGGCGTTACAGGTCACTTCGTCACGCCGCCACGCCCAGCTGCTCCATCGAAGCTGGTCGGGGTTGGAATCCTCAACACACCAACATGTCTTCTGTGTCTGGGCACAGTTTCATGTTGATGAGGTCAAAGGGGTCAGATAGCGACCGTTCAGAGTAAAACATGACACTTCCTTTTCTCAGGGGGCGTGGCCTAAGTGATGTCATCATTCGACCATAGGGTATTGTAGGACACCCGATGATGATCAATCACAGTAACTTTGGTGCCTCTGTGAGTTTCTGTGTAGGAAATATAGCAGTTTATGTTTTTATGGCGTGTAGGTGAACTTTGACCCCTGCTAACCCCCTTTCAGCATTCTCAAAAACTCACCGTTTTGATAACTTTAGATGGGACATGCCTTATTAACGGACTGACCGAGTTTGAAGACGATCAATCAAAATCCCTAGGAGGAGTTCGATCAAATACGGAGGCTGTAAACGGCAAAAATGGGGTCAAATCTGAACTTCAATCTAAAATGGCCGACTTCCTGTGGGGTTTAGACCATGGCTCCAAGAGACTTTTTTGTAAGTCCTGACAAGGTACACATGTGTACAACGTTTGGTAATTGTAGGTTAAAGCATGGCTTGGGGCTGATCATTTAAAGTTTTCTAGGGGGCGCTATAGAGAAATTAGGCCACGCCCACCAAATATTGTGATGGATTCCTGTCGGGGAGTGGATGAAGATCCATCCTTGTGAGTTTGGAGCAGCTGGGCCTTAAAATGTGTAATTGAGAGCCAAACGTATGGCGATGGCGTTAGAGGTCACTTTGCCACGCCGCCACGCCCACCTGCTCCATCGAATCTGGTCGTGGTTGGAATCCTCAACACACCAACATGTCTTCTGTGTCTGGGCACAGTTTCATGTTGATGAGGTCAAAGGGGTCAGATAGCGACCGTCCACAGTAAAACATGACACTTCCTGTTCTCAGGGGGCGTGGCCTAAGTGATGTCATCATTCGACCATAGGGTATTCTGGGAGACCCGATGATGATCAATCACTCAAACTTTGGTGCCTCTGTGAGTTTCTGTGTAGGAGATATAGCAGTTTATTTTTTATGGGGAGTAGGTGAACTTTGACCCCTGCTAACCCCCCTTCAGCATACTCAAAAACTCACCGTTTTGATAACTTTAGATGGGACATGCCTTATGAACAGACTGACGGAGTTTGAAGCCGATCAATGAAAATCCCTAGGAGGAGTTCGATCAAATAGGAAGGCTGTAAACGGCAAAAATGGGTCAAAATCCAAACTTCAATCCAAAATGGCAGACATCCTGTGGGGTTTAGACCATGGCTCCTAGAGACTTTTTTGTAAGTCCTGACAAGGTACACACGTGTACAAAGTTTCGTATTTGTAGGTTAAAGCATGGCTTGGGGCTGATCATTTAAAGTGTTCTAGGGGGCGCTATAGAGAAATTAGGCCACACCCACCAAATATTGTGATGGATTCCTGTCGGGGAGTAGATGAGGGTCCATCTTTGTGAAATTGGAGCAGCTGCGCCCAAAAATGTGGAATTGAGAGCCAAACGTATGGCGATGGCGTTACAGGTCACTTCGCCACGCCGCCACGCCCAGCTGCTCCATCAAAGCTGGTCGGGGTTGGAATCCTCAATACACCAACATGTTTTCTGTGTCTGGGCACAGTTTCATGTTGATGAGGTCAAAGGGGTCAGATAGCGACAGTTCACAGTAAAACATTACACTTCCTGTTCTCAGGGGGCGTGGCCTAAGTGATGTCATCATTCGACCATAGGGTATTGTAGGGCAGCCGATGATGATCAATCACAGTAACTTTGGTGCCTCTGTGAGTTTCTGTGTAGGAGATATATCAGTTTATTTTTTTATGGCGAGTAGGTGAACTTTGACCCCTGCTAACCCCCCTTCAGCATACTCAAAAACTCACCGTTTTGATAACTTTAGATGGGACATGCCTTATGAACAGACTGACCGAGTTTGAAGCCGATCAATCGAAATCCCTAGGAGGAGTTCGATCAAATACGAAGGCTGTAAACGGCAAAAATGGGGTGAAAATTTGACCTTCAATCCAAAATGGCTGACTTCCTGTGATACTTGCACTATGACATTAATTGTAAATTTTGAGCATCTTGGGGAGCTCTACAAGTGTACCAAATTTCATGTCTCTACGATGAAGTAAGTGAATAGCAAAGGGTCTTTTGAAAATTTCTAGGTGGCGCTATTGAGCCATTTCTTGTGGAATTTTTGCGACGACTTTAAAATACGTAAATTTGAAACAGGCTTAAGGCCTCCGCCAAGTTTGGTGAGTTTTTTGAATATGATAAAGCCCCGAAAAAGCCAATTCATTTGGAGGGAGAATCGTAATAATAATTAAAGCTGCAAGCAGCCTCGAACGGCCCTCGCAGCCAAGCGCCGCTCCGGCCTATTGCCACCGCGGGGTACTAGCAACCGGCGCCTCACGCCAGCCACCACAGAAGCTCTCACGCAGTTTTCAGCTCTTCCGCCCGCACCGCGGAAGCTGTTGCTCAGTTTCCATCCACGCTGGCCACGTGCTAACACAGAAGTTGTTGCGCAGTTTCCGCGCCCGTCCACTAGGCGGTACGCACTGATGCGTTCGGAGGCGCTCCTTGACGATGCAAAAATTGTGGTGCAGATTCATTGGTTTAGCGAGGAAATATAGCTGGCGGATTAATGTAGGACGCGCAGTGGAGTCAAAATATATTTCAATGCTGTTGTTCTCTTTAGAGGTCAACAAAGGTCATACGTATCCAATTTGTCGTCAGTCGGATGATCCACGTGTCATTTACAGCCGATCATATGCACATGGCGAAGTAATGCATTTCGTCATTTCTACACCCCAATGCGGTTCGGTCAGCAGCCAGTATTCATAGAGTTCATCATGTTATCGTTTTTAGTCAGTATTCACATGATGAAACCCATATAAATTATAGAATAACAGTAAAACATACAGCAGAAAAAACATGTGACTGCCTCTTAAAAGTGGGCGGGGCTACAGTGAGGTCATCAAGTGACCATGGAAATGTGTTCAGGGCTGTTCTCTAGAAAGACAGAGGAAGTGTGATGATGCAGCTGTGATCTTGCATTTGGAAGTCATTTAATGTTGATCTTTCATGGTAAATAGTGAAAGTTTTACACTAAGCCACACCCACATGCTTGATGTTAACTACAACTGAGATCTAAATGCAGTGCAACTTTGACGTTATCGTGAAATGAGTCAGGAAAATGGTGAAGGTTAAGATGTATCAGTTTAATAAACCGCACTGTTCAGTAATAAACCAAGGGCAATGCACATTAAGAGAGCACAGTTAACTTTCAGCACATTAGAACAATAGCACAGGCTGAATCCCATCCATTAATTAGGTATTAATCACAGGAAGTGCTGCAACTAAATATTACAACCCCAATGGATCGGTAAAAAGATACTTAGCATTTTTTCAGAGCTCTTTCA